TGTGTGTGTGTGTGTGTGTGTGAGTGCGTGCTTGTGTTTGTCTAAAAAGAAAAAGAAAATGCTAATTTCAATTATTATGAAAAAAAAGTAAATTGAAACTGTATTATAATTTTACAGTGACAGGTGGGAAAGCAGACTTTTAAAGCATGATTATATTAGTCTACTAAACCTTATATCTGTTTTATAAAACTAAGGAAAGGAATTCTGAATGTTTAAAGATGTAAAAACAGAATACATTTTTAAAAAAATGATTTAAATCACTTAGTTTTATATCTAAAATCAAATTGATTTAAATTTTAAAAAATCAACTGATTTAAATCGACCTGATATAAATCAACCCAACCCTGAATTCAATTATGAAAAAAAAGTAAATTGAATACTGTATTATTTTACAGCGACAGGGAGGAAAGCAGACTTTTAAGCATGATTATATTAGTATTAGTCTACTAAACCTTATATCTTTTTAATAAAACCAAGGAAAGGAATTCTGACTGTTTAAATATGTAAAAACTGAAATCATTTTTTAAAAAGTAATCACTGATTTTTATTTTTAAAATCAAGTTGATTAAAATAGAAAAAATCAACTGATTTAAATCAACCCAGCTCTGATATCAATTATGGAAAAAATAGTAAATTGAATACAGTATTATTTAACAGTGAAAGGGGGTAAAGCAGACTTTTAAGCATGGTTATATTAGTCTACTAAACCTTATATCTGTTTTAAGAAACCAAGGAAAGGAATTCTGAAGGTTGAAATATGTAAAAACTGAATAAAAATAAATTTTTTAAAAAGTGATTTTTATTTTAAAAATCAAGTTGATTTAAATTTTAAAAATCAACTGATTTAAATAGACCTAATTTAAATCAACCCAACCCTGGTTATTATATTAATAATACCAATAATAATTTTCATCACCATCAACAGAATAATTCAATGATGGTGACACTCTGATATATAACATTATGTAGCGCCAGACAGTTATTATATCAACAATAATATTCATAATATCATCATCATATCATCAAAATGCAGTGGTGGAGTAGATGTCCCCGGAGACAAATTGACACTGGAGGAGACAGTTACACACAACAGTACTGAAATGATTATATCATCATATGTAGTGCCGGATAGTTTTTTCATACTAAAAACAATAATAATAATAGTAATAATAATAATCATCATAACCACAATACTAATAAAATGAGCAATAACATTCAT